CCTCCTGGTTTGCTGTTAGAAAGTAAGCAGATTGCATTGAGATGACTGATAGACAGATGCTCACCTCCTAGAAAGAATGGGACCGAGTATCGGTCCCGCCTTGAGTGGTTGAGTACTCGGTGCATGGTGGACACAAAAAGCCCATTGGTGAGCATGGCCATGGAATCCCCGATATTGACCACAAATGTACCCGGAATGGGTTTCGCTTGGATCCACTGTCCGGTATTGGACAGGACCTCGAGGGAGGGGATATTATCCTGTAAGAGGATCGTCAAGAGCTCGTAGTCTGTGTGAGGACGAATCGACGATGGCTCTTCTGATCCAGCAAGTACCCCAGGGTAATGTGCCATCTTGAGAATAGAGTAAGGTTTAGTAGCCAGGTGGTCGAATGAATTCTCCTCCAAATTGAGACCGAGGGCAAACATTCGCAGCAAAGCTCGACTCAATACGAGGACACGAGACATGTATTCCTTGACGTTCTTCTCGTAGCCAGGAAGACGCTCCTCCGACGGCCACCAGTTGCCACCGTTGTTCTTTGGATTAACAGCATCGGGGTCAACGGTGGGTTCGTAGCCATAGTTGATACCTTCGTTCAATTCTAGAAAATGTCAGGAATGCTCAGTCTTAGGGAGTCGTGGGACGTACTTGCGCCTGCAGGTAGACTAGGGTCAAGATTGATTGGGTAATAGCCATAGTAATGCTCATGCTTTTCTGTGTCATATTGCATTTTTTCTTCAAGACTCAGTTCATGGAAGAAGCGTTTGCATTCTGAGAAGATGGTTTCGACCACTGTGTCCGGAACACCATGGTTACTGACATAGAAAAAACCCACATTGGCTGCGGCATGGCATATCTGTTGTGCAACAGCCCTTCGACGTTCTTGATCAGGATGGTCTATATCACCAATATCAATGACGGGAAGGCTGAAGGTGGCTTCGGTGCTGGTTGGAGAGAGCACCTTTCGCCATCCTAGCCCGGTTCTGACTTCCTGGTAGCCGTTGGGGGCAGTTCTGATAATGTCCGTCATCGAGGGAATAGTATACAATATCGGCGTCCATCAACAACCTGCGAAGTCAACCTCTTCATTTATCTAACATGTCGTGCATGTCTTCCCTCGACCCGGACAAGTCCGCGAAATGAAATATAGAACAAGTGAGGCCCAGAATGCCATGTTATCGTATTGTGTGCACATGTCCGTGGTTGGAAACTTTGGCTTCTTTCAATCATGACGATATGATCATGAATGGCCCGAGGTTTCAGGTGATACCGAGTCGACTGTACCAAGCAGTGTCTTGCCGCGAGCATTTTGTCATACGCCAGGTCTGATCTGTACGATTTAACTCTCGATGGGCCGTGGTGGCACAACTGGAACGTTGAGGCCAGGCTGCGGATTTCATCCTCCACCAACTCGAGGTAATAGCAGGTACTGTGGCTTTTTGGGTTGGTGGCGCCCGTCATTAGCATAGCTGGTGCATGATAAGTGCACAGCGCAGCATGCTTGGGCAAATTGAGACGAAACCGAGGGGAGGACTGGAAGGCGTCGAATATGCCAATGGCTCAGAGACCACAGGCTACCATCGGTGCAAGCTGGGGAGCCTAATTAATGGTACTGGGGGTCATTTGGGCATCATTAGCCACGAAATCAAGCACTTGGGGCAGCACCAGCACCAATTATTAGGCCCGCACCACTGGAGATTCTTTTTACAAGTGTCTCCTCCCAGTAAACTCTTGTTTTCCGTCGCGAACCTCCTACAAGTCTCTATCACAACAATAACCGCGGTCAACACACAACTCGCTTCAACTCGGTTCCTCTAACAGTAGAATACATCGATCGATTGGCGAAGGATGCATACCATCTTCCCTCCCAAGTGCATGAAACACCGGGGTTGTTGACGAGAACGCAGGTCCACGTGCATCGTGTCCCTCGAACCTGCCCATTGTTTTGCGACGCGCTGCACAAAAGGGGGATGCACTGGTCAATAATGGTCAAGGCAGCTATGAGTGACGATTACGATGGCTTCGCCCTCTTAGTCAATCGAACAACTACCCATCCTCCTCCTGTCCTCGGTACCTCCTCTCCCAGCCCCAGATCCATTCCTGTGGATTCTCTTCCAAGCCTACCGTCGTTTGTGGACAAAGTGAAACTCGACTTCAAACAGGGCTTAAGGGTGTTACGATTGGTGCTTCAGATGAGCGAGCCGCAGCCAATCGCCAGGCCGATCCCCGCATGCCCCTTGACCGCTGGAACAAGCTGCGACACTCGACGAGGCTGAACCCCTTCACTACCGTCTCAGCCTTGCCCTTCGCTGTTTGATCCGCAATGTCTTCTTCTGTTGATGTGCTTGTCGATTGGAGTGAGGTTACATTTTCCACCAGCACTTCATTGGAAATTATCTCGTGTCCATCCAGCCTCATGACATCTGGATTGATCTCCAGCTGGAATCTATTTGCTAACAGAAAAGGGGTTTCTAAGGTAGGTTGCATTTTTGATGCCTGAGTGCACGATTTATTCAAATACACGGTGTATCTCACAGCTTCTCATTATTTTATTCCATCAACCAAGTTCTATTCTCTCCTTCTTTCTGTTCTATCTGTTCATCTTTTGTGACAACATTTCACATTCATTCTATCTACACAACTGCCGGTTCAGTTCAGCGACATATACTCAAAATGATTTCAAACACTCCTTCAAGATCTTCCTCACTTGTATTTCTATTCCTCAACTGTAAGTATATTTCCAACCGCTTCCCTCGATGGCGACACGCGCTGACACTGGACACACAGTGGCTCTGCTGGTTCTCGGTCAAGGTACTCAATTCATCACTGGTCCCTGTACGAGCGATGCCGACTGCGCCTCCAGCTGCTGTGGCTTCAACAGCGGCCTGTGCGCCGGTCCTGTCATAGCCCAGACGCGTGATGGAGGATGTGGCTTTGGTGACGCGCAACCCAATGACATCGCAGCCCAAGCCTTCTTCAGCTCACAAGCGGCCGCAGCTGGTGCGACGTCTCCTGCAACCGCCGCACCTGCCCCTGCGGCTGCCACTTCCTCTCCCCCCTCGTCGGGATCTGGCAACGGTAACGTGGGCACTGGAACGCAATTCATCACCGGCGCCTGTACCAGTGACGCAGATTGTGCCTCAGGATGTTGCGGCTTCAACAGTGGAAAGTGCGCTGGTGCCATTGTCGCCCAGGAAAGAGATGGCGGATGTGGATTCGGCGACGCTCAGCCAAATGATAACGCTGCACAACTACTTCGTGGAGGACAACCCACCTCGGCTGCTACCTCTGCGCCGGCTCCGGCGAACACTGCATCCACTGCCAACACTGGTACTGGCACAACCAGTGGCTCCAACCCCCCGATCGATAGCAGCATCCCGGGCTCTCAAAACGTGGGCAAAGACGACGCTTCGCAATTCATCACAGGGCAATGTTTCAGTGATGCAGACTGCGCTTCGGGATGCTGTGGGTTCAACACTGGAAAGTGCGCAGGGGCAATCATCGCACAAACTCGAGACGGAGGATGTGGATTTGGAGATGGGCAGCCAAATGACAATGCGGCCCAGGCATTGCAAGGTGGAGCGAAGAAGAGGAGAGGCATTGCGGCGGTGAGGGAGTACATGGCATAATCTGCCGAAACTTTACGACGATGATGATGTGCATATCCCCCACGCAGGTAGTGGCAACAGGCAAAGCATTTTCAGGATGGAACCAAAAAGAATTGGGTGCATATAAGGTATAAGGCCAGCAGAACCTTCCGAGGGTTGGGATGTCTGAGGTCCTTCTTACATTTTGTCTTTGGCGGAGAACAATACCCTTTTCAGAATTCAAGCGGCTATAATAGCAAGATGCTTTCGATTCGTTCATGGACAACGCACCACTTTCTTCTTCTCTAGGGCACACTGGTCCGGTGTCCCGTTCCAGAGCAATAGTACTAGAGGCAGCGTTCTCATGCCCGGACTTTGACCGTGCTGCGCCTACCTCGTCCCCAAGGATTACCATGTCGATATCCGATAGGGATAAGTCTTTGCGCGAGGCTGCGTCAGTGGCCAGGGTCCCATCATATAAATCCATTGGTTCGTGACATGTCCTTATTGGGATTGTAGAAGAGCGGGAGGACAACAACGGAATCGGAATGACCACGCAGCCACGCCAATGACTGAGGACACCCTTGCACCTGGACACGCTAGCCCCTGGAACATGGGGTAATATCCAACCCCGTAAAGATATCCTCACCAAGAGACTTCGCATGTTCCGTTACTAAGCCAGAATGCTGTCTCCTCTGGTCCCCTCACGCGTGCAACGACATCGTCTGAAATCGAGACAGTCATGTGTTTTGTTGTAGTTCGGCGCAGAGAATGGGAGCGAAAATCTAAAGGACGATAAAGTCGAGGCGATGCGAATTGCGGTTGTGCAGAACCCACGGGATGGGACTTTATCAGCGCGGTCAAGCAATGCTCATATACCATGCTCGAGCTCCTACTCCTAGGCGGCTGTGATATTAATGCGTGGGTCAGAGATGATTGGACTCCTCCTCTGGCGTGAGTAAAGGTCTACATTGCTGTTCTTACGATACCTTGACACAATACAGCGACGCCTCATTCGACCCGGAGCTTGTTGGGTGGCTCGTTGAACACGGTGCGGATCCGAATGCTCAATGCAGATACGACATCACAGCATTGTCGATCGCAGCTGGATCGGCCTCGAGAGAAGTCATCGAATTGTAGTTCGAGCTGGGCGCCTCCGTGAGGCATGGCCAATCGCTACACTGCGCCGTCAGAGCCAGACGTGGGGACGATTTCGTGGAGCTCCTCTTGAGCAAAGGTGGCTCACCGAACGCACTCATGTTTCACGACCACCCAGTGTCGTTCTGCCAGTTCGAATGCCTCGGTCTGGGAACATCATTACACGAGGCTGTCCTCCACCGCCACGACAGGCTGGTACGGCTCCTTCTGAATCACGGCGCGAATCCGCAGATCAGGGACAGTCTGGGAGGATTGCCACAGGTCAAAAGACTCCTTTTCAGCACTGCCCTCTGAATCGCCGAACCTCGTACGCGTCAACAACGCTTCGCGACCCAATTGCTCAAACTATGTCCTGTGTTCTACCTCTTCAAAATCAGAAGGACACAGGACACAGGAGTTTGCCGCCCAAAAATCCGCCCCAATATGGAGTGTCGCCTACTTCTTCGCAGTTCTTCCCCCTGTTCGTCATGAGCACTCGAAGAAACGCCACTGTACTCTCACTAATTGTGAATGCCGGAGTCAACCAGCCGTCGCGATCTCGTATGATGAAAGCCACTGGCAGCGATGATGATGCTTCCCGCCTTGGGCCTTTTGCGATGCGAGGTCCAAGTCCAGTACAAACCTCGACATACTCCCCGTTATGAGTCCAGATGGAACGGTCAGTCTTGGAACAGGACGAGGTGGAGAATGGAACAGATCATGGCAAGTGAGCTCTGTTGGAACCTTCAGTAATCAGCCGACTTTCTTCTGTTATATTCATCTGCCTATGGGGACCCAGGATACACAGGGGGGATAACATTATAAAGTCCGGACCACGGGAAGCAACCAGACTGATTGTCAGAGAGACATATGATAGGGATAAAAGGGATAGGTGGACAGGAGGAATAGTATGCGGTCATTTTTTATGACCGTGGAACGATAGCTGACTAATTAAGAGATCAATAGTCCAACTGGGTGCCATCCACCCACCATCAAGGGCCAAGACTACTAGATTCCCCGACAACCCTGTGTCAAGCGGCGTCTTCTCGTCCAATACGTAGAGACGAGGGAGCTACTACTGATTGATAGGATACTCTGTCACTAATTGTAGTACCATCATTTACTAGGACGCGCGGTCAACCATAGGGCGTAGTGCCCGCCGTATGTTATGTATACCTCATTGAGTAGTGTAGATTCGGGTACGGCGGCGAGGGCGGGCGATTGAACCGCACGTGCTGCCAAGCAAGACTCTTTTTCTCCCGGTGATAAAGACCACGTTCGGCCGTTATCGTGTTAGCTCCGACTAGACGGGTGGCCCATTGGCGGCGCTCTGAACTGTGGTCCTGGGATGGAGAAAAGCTGGAGATAATGGACATTTGCGACGACGACCGACCGACCGACCAACGTGGTCAATACCCTGGGTGTGCCAGAAGAGGGAGTCGTGCAAAGGAAAACCTGGAGCCAGCTCTTCGTTCTTTGTCTCAAACCTGAACCTGAACCCTGAGCCGTCGGGGTATAAAAGGTAGCCAAACCTGCTCGTCAGAACCTATTCAGTCTTTTTTGTTTAAACATTCGACCAAAGTCCCCAGAGAATCAAATCATTTCTTTCGACAGACAGTTCATAAGAATGGAGTATCAAAACCTCGGTAAGAGCGGACTCAAGGTCTCCAAGGTCATCCTGTGAGTACTCACAACCCAGAACCATCCAGAGACTGGAGGAGGCGATGCTAATCCGGGAATGGAACAGGGGGGCCATGTCCTACGGCACGCCAGAGTGGCAAGGTTGGGTCCTGAATGAAGAAGACTCGTTGCCCCTGCTGGAATATGCGTACAAGGTCGGCATCCGGACCTGGGACACCGCCGACGTGTACAGCCACGGTCGATCCGAGCAGATCATCGGCAAGGCGATCAAGCAATACAATATCCCCCGCGAGCGCCTGGTGATTCTGAGCAAGTGCTACTTCGGCGTGACTCCGGACACCCCTGGCAGTGGAATCGCTGCCAGCTCGGTCAACGACGGCGACATGCTGAACCAGACGGGTCTCAGCCGCAAACACATCCTCGATGCAGTGGATAAGAGTGTCGCGCGGCTGGGCACCTACATCGACGTCCTCCAGATCCATCGTCTCGACCGGTCGGTCCCTCGCGAGGAGATCATGAGGGCGCTCAATGATGTGGTCGAGTCCGGCAAGGTCCGCTACATCGGTGCCTCTAGTATGGCGGCGTGGGAGTTTCAAGAACTGCAGAATGTCGCCGAGAAGCACGGGTGGCACAAGTTCATCTCGATGCAGAACTACTACAATCTGATCTATCGGGAAGAAGAAAACGAGATGATCCCTTACTGCAACCACACGGGCGTCGGTCTTGTGCCGTGGTCGCCCGTCGCACGCGGAGCCTTGGCCCGTCCTTATAAAACCCGAGACACCCTGCGTGAGAAGACGGACAACTATCTGAAGACTGGGATCCGCGCCAAGGAAGACAAAGTCGACGAAGAGATCGTGGGGAGGGTCGAGGAGGTGGCCAAGAAAATGGGCAAGACCATGGCCCAGATTGCCATTGCTTGGTGTCTGAGCAAGAAGGACGTCTGCCCGATTGTGGGCTTGAACAAGAAGGAGAGGATGGATGAGGCAGTCGAGGCGTGCAAGATCAAGCTCAGCGATGAGGATATCAAATACCTCGAAGAGCCGTACATGCCCAAGAAGAGACAAGGCTATTGATCTGATCGTGCATGGTGACGTGGGAAAACCCCCCCCCTTTTTTTTTTCAGAAGCCAGACAGACAGTGTCGTCCTGATGGAAGACTCTGATCACAAAGAAGTCTCCTGCCTGGCGTATGTGACTCTCGGATCAACTTCCTTGAGAGCAGAACAGTGATTCCAGTCCGTTGCCGCTTGGCGGTTGTCACGTTACCTCGCTGTCGTTGTTGTGAAGTGAAGTGATGTGAAATTGGTCCTGTCCTCGCTAAGTATCACGAAGGCTGTTTGTCTTTTGCCTTACCCTCACTTTCACTCCCTGCCTCAGTCGTACAAGACGAAACCTACCTTTGCCGCACCGTGTTCTCCGAGTCTTCTGTAAGATTGCTCCTTCCCTATTCCGCGTCGCCGCCATCGTTTGTATCGTTGCTGCGCGCTCCTCTTTCATCGCGCTGACCTGAGAGACAGTTTGAGGCGCAAGAGTCAAGCGTCCACCGCCGCTGGACCCGCGCGTTCAACCTCCTCCCTAGCCGTTGGTCTGCCTGGGAGACTCCACAAGGTCACATCCTGCACCGGATCCTGTTCTGCTGCAAAGCCTCACTCGTCAGCCCTCAAGCCGCGCGAACTGCGGTGCAATCACGATGATGAGTAGTACCTGGGGACAAGGCGCTGACAGCGACTCAGATGACGGGCAGCGAGGTGATGGAGTTGATCCTGTACAGTATCGCAAGGGTAACACAGGCACTGGCACTGGCGGTAAACCTCGTCATGATCCCACGCCCGGTCTCGCCTTCTTGAGAAGTCGCGCAGCAGCTAGACGACTTGCAAATTCAGCCGAAGCTAGCAAGGCCACACCTGGTGCCACTGGTCCTGCTTCCGCAAAGCCACAAAAGTTCATGTCAGCCACGAGCAACAAGTACCACAAAGCGGTGTTTCCTGGCATGAGAGTTCCTGTCCACATGCGCAAAATTGACAAGGGTGACCGCCACGGACACCAGTCCAACAGTGGTGTAACAAAACCCAAGTCGGAGTCCGTACCTGTCATGTCGGTACAATGCCCCATGCCTGGTGGTACAGTAGTTACCGAAACCACTGATCCTGTGCAGAAGGTCAGCTGGGGTCCAATCTCCAGGATCGAAGCGAGCGAGGAAGCACGCGAGTTGATCAGCCTCTGGCGTGATGCCGTGAAAGACGCAAAGAAAACAAAGGCAAAAGGCAAAGGAGAGGATGACAGCGACGACAGCGATCAACCAGACAAACCCATGAAGACAAAGAATGCAGACAAACGTGGCAATGCTCCCAAAGTCGTCGCTGGCTTCCACGGTGGTGGAGGGTCTGGGTCTAAGGACCAGCAGAACATCTATGCCAACGACGACCTGACACCAACAAATGCCTCTCAAGCGGAAACTGAAGCAACCACAGACTCTCAACGCTCGCGTGGCTTCCTACAACCTCCACCTCCCACACCTCCCGACACCATCTTCCACAAGACACACTCGGTAGCAGCAGCGCTGTCAATGCCTACTCTTCCGAGTCTCCACCGTATCTCTGAACCACAGCTTGTTGAACAGTACCGCCTTCAGCATGCAACGGACCCGGAAGCCTTCGAAAAAGAAACCCGCGCCATCAAGAAAGGACTTGTGGATGCCAAGGTTGCGAGGGGTGGAAAACCGAGACTCTTGAAGAATGAATATACCGTTGAGTTGGCGAGTCGTGAAGACGCGGAAACCGCGGAGAAATGGGTCAGAGACCAGGGCAGGACCTTCGGGATCTCGGACGTGAGAAGCAGGGCGAACAGTACGTTCACGGCAAGCGATGCAGCGTCCGGATCTGAGGAACTAGCTTTGAAGATGAGAGGTGGAGAAATGGAGATAGGAGAGTTGGCGACTGCCGAAAGTGAAGAGAAGGAGGGTGAAAAACAAGCAAAGGTCGAGGAAACACCCAAGCAAAAGCACCCTGCAGCTGTTCATGACCGAGAGGACCGCGCCATATCTGCAAAGCCACAGAACAAGCAGAACAGATCCCCACGCTCGGCCAAGTCTGCCAAATACACCCTGCTCAGATCCAAGCCAACGCTACGCAGCGTCAGATCTCAAGTATCTCGTCTCGACCTCTCAGAGCACGTGAGCAAAATCACCACGTATGGCAGTGTGCGACATCAACACTCGGTCAAGCGAGAGGCCGGGGACCACGGCGAGAAACGCACAGTCAGAACGTGGATCGAAGTAACCGAAGTTTATGAGGTGCCGACGTCCAAGTCACTTACCTTCAAGGATGTGGTGGCAGCAGTGGATGAGGACGCGGAAGATTATGATAGTGCTAGTGATGGAGAGGGTTGGGAAAGTGAGAATGATGATGGATGGAGTGAGGATAGTGGCGAGAGCGACAGTGACACGGCAAAACAGACGGGCAAGAAGAATCATCACAAGTCAAACGCCAAGTCGAAGGGCAAACCCAAACCATCGATTGCCTCAAAGAGCGAAAAGGGCGGGTACGAGTCAGACTCCAGCTCTACGTCCGCTGCGTCCTCGACCACTTCTGATTACGACAGTGCATCCCATCCTGCCGGCGTTCGCCTGTCAGGTCCAGGCTACCATGACCCCAGCGAGACAGATTCCGAAGC